AACTCAGTGAGTGTATCAAAATATAATATTCTGTAGTGTATTTAATCAAAATTACATTGTAAAGCGCTGAGCAAACTGTTGGCGCTATGTAAATTCTGTTTTATAATAAATAATAATAATAAATAGCCAAACAAACGTACTTATTCAGAGCTTTTTGTGGATCTTTCAGGTATGCCTTTCTTTTGGATCGAGCACTGTTAATATGTAAGAGGAAAGGAGATACATATGACCTGAAGGAATTTATAAGACTTCAGACTTATGAAATCCGTGATGACCCCTCTGGTGACAGAGACAATAAAAAGGTAGGCAGTCATCAACTATAGAAATATAGTCTCTGAATTTCTCTCACAAAAGATTTCTTTTGAAGTTCTAATTTCTGCAGAGTTTTATTAAGTAGCCAAGTTTCAATAGGTAGCCAATAACAGTTAAGTAACTGAAGGGGGCCCAAAAGGGTAGGGGGTAGAGAAGACTTCCATTACTCCTTGCTACAGAGTTAAGCAGCATGTACTTTTTCTATGAAATATTTTTAAAATGCTTGCCATTATACCTCTGGACAGTAGGGAAATACATCAGATGGGGGAATATCACAGAACCACCAGAAGAACATGGCAACTGAATTAATGATTAATGGTCCTGATGCATGCTGAAAACAGAATGGTAAAGTGTGTGATTCAATAAAACCAAGCTTATCTTATATACAATTATTTTTCAGTGGGCTCACATGTTCTATCTGATTGATGCCCGAGCCTGCCTAGGATATGAACTCTATTTCAAGACAAGAGAGCTAAAAGAAGAAGTGGATGGAGCAATTTGAAATGGCTGTGTAAGCATGTGACAACAAGACCTATTGTATAGTCTTAATGTATAGAAAAATGCATGGATTGCACCCTGTTATTCCACCCGTAAAGATGTATAGTTGAAGCCTGGTGAGATGCCGCACTCCCTGTCTCGAATACCGCAGCACTGGGAATCCCATGCCATACTTACTGACTATGTTCTTATCTACCTGGGAGTTCCAGGTTCCCTTGCTAGCCTTTGAATGTTCCAGTGGCCTTGTGACAGTGTCCATATTATAGAAAACAAATCCATCCAAAACAGGTTCAACAGCAAGTGTGTAGACTTGGGACCCAAGATATCTCACCAGGTACACAAGATAGTCCCCAAGACACATATTTAACTGTCAGTTGATTCCCCCCCCCCCACATTTACAAAAAAAACCCTAAAATATCAGTTTTGGGTGGCCTTGCCCTTTGACATATTTATGTATACAATAGGCATAGTAATGTCTAATATTCATGAAAACCAAATAAATTGAGAATGATCTGGGAAATCTTGTGCAAGTAAAAATACAGTTGTGTCCAAAATTATTCAAGGCCCCCACTGAAATTGAGTGTTTTGGCCAGTTTGACATTGCTTTTGATCATTCAGTCATCTTGCTTACATTTACATTAAAGAGGCACTTGTAGGTCAGACAAATATAACATAACAGTTATAATGAAATAACCACAAATGTCTTTTCTGTGCTCACAGCATTATCAGTTTTATTCAACCCCCAAGTGACATTCAATCTTAGTACTTAGTACACCATCCTTTTACAGTTATAACAGCTTTTAAACGTGAAGCATAGCTTGACACAAGTGTCTTGCAGCGATCTACGGGTATCTTCGCCCATTCTTCATGGGCAAAGGCCTCCAGTTCAGTCACATTCTTAGGCTTGCGCACTGCAACTGCTTTCTTTAAGTCCCACCAGAGGTTCTCAATCGGATTTAAGTCTGGTGACTGCGATGGCCACTCCAAAATGTTCCAGCCTTTCCTCTGCAACCATGCTCTAGTGGACTTGGAGGTATGCTTGGGATCATTGTCCTGTTGAAAGGTCCAACGTCTCCAAGCCTCAGGTGTGTGACGGACTGCATCACGTTTCCATCCAATATCTCCTGGTACTGAAGAGAATTCATGGTACCTTGCACACGCTGAAGCTTCCCTGTACCTGCAGAAGCAAAACAGCCCCAAAGCATGATTGACCCTCCACCATGCTTCACAGTAGGCAAGGTGTTCTTTTCATCATAGGCCTTGTTCTTCCTCCTCCAAACATAGCGTTGATCCATGGCCCAAACAGTTCTAATTTTGTTTTCATCAGTCCACAGAACACTATCCCACAACTTTTGTGGTTTGTCCACATGGCTTTTGGCATACTGCAGTCGACTCTTCTTATTCTTTGGAGACAGCAAGGGGGTACGCCTGGGAGTTCTGGCACGGAGGCCTTCATTACGCAGTGTGCGTCTTATTGTCTGGGCTGAAAACTTCTGTAACCCAATCTGACAAATCTTTTCTCAGTTCCTCAGCAGTCACACGGGGACTTCTCTCCACTCTACGCTTCAGGTAGCGCACAGCAGTTGAAGTCAGCATCTTCTTATCTTTCTGCCACGACCAGGTAGCGTTTCAACAGTGCCCTTTGCCTTGAATTTGCGAATGATGCTTCCTAAGGTTGTCTCTTGGTATGTTTAACATCTTTGCAATCTTCTTATAGCCATTGCCCTTCCTGTGAAGAGAAATCACCCTTTCTTCTTGTCTTCCTGGACCATTCTCTTGCCTTCACCATGTTTGTAACCACACCAGTAAATGTCTAGAAGGAGCTGAGTATCACAGTCATTTTAAAGCTGCCTAATTGGTGCTTATTATGCTTGATTGCTGCTCGGTGACATCCACAGGTTTTTCAATACCTGATGGAAAGCACCTGTATGAACCTCTGTTCTTCAGAGTGGTAGTCTTTAAGGGGTTGAATAATTGTGGCAATGAAGAAACCACATAAGAACCATTTACTACTGTATTACATAAACAATTGATGTCATTTTAGTTGCATTTGGGTAGTTACAACGTCCTTGTAGGATTTGATTCTGAATACAATTCCAAATGTACACTATAGTCCCTAAACCCCTTTACAGCATTGGGGTTGAATAATTTTGGACACAACTGTATGGTTGTGCACAGCAATAAGACACATTTTATCTTTACTCTTGACAGAGCAAAAACTCAATTCACACACTATAGGGTGGAATTACTAAAGACAAACAGATTGTGCACTTTGCAATTGCATTTGCACTCATTTTCCCCAGACCTTAGTAAATGTGGTATAACTTCACTTTGTGAAAAATACCCAATCAGGTGCAACAAAAAAAGAAAAAACATTTTTTTTTTGCTTGCACATGATTGGATGATGGAAGCAGTATGCAAAGTGCACAGTATATTTGCCTTTAATAACAGCCCAAAGATTCTAAGTTAATATTATTGGCACTTTACCTGGATGCTGGTGTGAGAAGCAACAGCCAATAAGAAAAGTTAAATTGGCTACTCCAAATCCCACTTACTTTTTTTCTTTTTTTTTTTTTTCCAACCTACATTGAAAATGTTAAACAGAAACAGGCTAGTTATGAAATCTATGACAAACGCGGTGCCCAACCCTGCCCTTCTCACCAACTTGTGACAAAGGACCAGGCAATTTCACACTGTGCTGTGCTGCATAACAATACCACTCTCAGTTGTACCCTGAACAAAGATTTTCCAGCTCATGGGACCACAATCTATGTGCCAGCAGCCTGGGAGCGATTGTCTCTGGGTCTGTAACACACACTGTCACCAGAGACCGGTATATTCAGAGGATTATTACATACAGTAGCACTCTTCAAGAGACAGGGATTCTTTAGTTTGCATGAAAAGCTTTAGAGATAAGTTTAACACTTTTCAAAATAGGGTTTATTAATAAAAAGTGCAATTAAAATATTTACAGATGTTACAAATAAATAAAGAAAACAATAAAGTAACAGAGAAATAATAGAAAGGAGTTAAGAAGGCAGAATACTTGCAAAGTCCTTTTTTTTAGCAGAGTCCAATTGTAGAAGCAAAAATGTCGCCATGGCTCTCTTGGGTGTTCCTTGGTTGATGGTAAAACGAGAGCTTGCTTACTAGATCCGGTCAGTCCCTTTTCTGTAATATCAAAGGGGTGTCGCCAGAGACCAACTGACCAATAATCTGGTTTAAGGGATGGGTGCTGGGAGGCCACCATGTTTACGGCCAATTCCCAAATACAGTTTTACACTAATATTGATAACCTCCAATACATGCAGGTGGTATATTAGAAAATAGAAAAATATTATTCAGAATTATATTTCAAACCCAGGGATACCAAACACAGTGTACCTTTGTCACCCAGGCGAGAGGAGACTGCCATCTCCCTTTTGTATGTGCTAGGGTAGTCATATATGACCTTGATTTAATTGGTATGATATTCCCCATTAAAATATATACTTCATATTAATGTGTCCAGTTCCTGTTGAATTCTTTGAATTGTATGTGGAATTGTTAGGTTGTGGAATAGACATTTTATGGCACACTCTGCATTTCTAGCGCTTAAATGGCCTTACACGTCATGTGCGACAACTTGACTAAGTTATTGTGGTTTTATGATAGGGCAGAGGAAAGTGTTTTTCATGGTACATGGAAACAGACATCCTGCCAAGACTAATTAGCTGTTTACAGCTCTGGCCAGGTCTGGACACTGTTTATTTGTGTTTTAATTAAGATAAGAGGTTCTTTTGAAGTTCGTTAAAAGTTACAGCTACAAATTCCATAGTTTGCAAATGGGGGGGGGGGGGGGGAGTAAGAACACTGCTCATGAGACCTTAACAAGATGGCTGTTGCGTACAGCTTCCATGTCTATATTGCACACAATCGTTACAAAACCCAGCTTGCAAACAGCTCCACAGTGGTGTATTTCTTACGACTCAATAAATTTGAGTATTACTAGCATTTTTTCTCTTACAGATCCAACATTCACCCAGATCATGCTCATGCAAATGGACATGATTTTCAAATGTATTCTTTTGAAAGCACAGCTACATGCAAGGCCTGTCAAATGCTATTAAGGTAAGACAAGAGTGTGTATGTGATGGAGCACTTACTGCTCCATTGTCATCTGGTCTTACATGCTCTTCTTTGGCACCTACAGGGGAATATTCTTCCAGGGGTACAGATGCTCCATTTGCAGAACTCCTGCACACAAGGAATGCTTGGGCCGAGTGCCATGCTGTGGGAGGCAAGGTAAGGGCCAAGTTGTGATAGATACATTTTTATACATATAATCAGGTACCAAAAATTGTAGATATTATGTAGATTCTCAACAAATGATATGTACGATATCATTAGCGTGGCCAATCCATTTAATTGTTAAACTGGCTCATCCAGGCAGCAGGATTGATGTTCAGCCCTTAATAATTTGTTACTAATATTCTGTGCCTCCTTATCACTAGTACAACACATACAGTAGGCTGTAAGTATTACACTAAATGTTACTTTTCCACACAGGAGAGACACCTTTATGCTGGATTTCTACTTTGCCAATATAGGTCCTGGCCTATAGCAGAAAACTACAACAGCTACCTTTATTATTATTATTATTATTATTATTATTATTATTCTTATTATACAGAATTTTTATAGTGCCAACAGTATAACAGCTGGATTTCTACTTTGCCAATATAGGTCCTGGCCTATAGCAGAAAACTACAACAGCTACCTTTATTATTATTATTTTTATTATACAGAATTTTGATAGTGCCACCAGTTTGCGCAGAATTTTACAATAAAAAGTGGGACAGTACAATACAGTAGGGTTAAGAGTGCCCTGCTTAGAATCTAATAGGATAGGGCAAGTGGTACAAAAGTTAATTACTTTGAGGGATGAGCTGATGGAAGAATTACATTTCAGTTGTTAGGCGGAATAGGTTTTCCTGAAGAGATGAGTTTTCAGGGATCAAAATGGTGGTCAAAATGGGAGATAGCTGGACAGAGTGAGGTAGAGAGTTCCAGAGGTTGGGAGATGCTCTGGAGAAGTCCAGGAGCTGAGCTTGGGAGGAAGAGACAAGGAAACTAGACATCAAGAGGTCATGGGAGAAGCCGAGAGGACAGATTTGATGATATTTGGAGAAAAGATTGGTGATGTAGCTTGGGGCAGAGTTGTGAATGACATTGTATGTTGTGGTTAGCATTTTAAATTTAAAAGAGAAGTATGGGTTAAACTTTTTTTTTTTGCAATATTTGAATCCTAGTGAACTGCTACTATAAAAAATGCTTTCCTGGCCTGACAATTGTAAACCCTTTCTTGTGAAATCGAAGAAAATACCTGTGGGGAGGGGATAAGGTTTCTCATGCAGTGTCAGCCCAACATTTAAGTCGGTATCCACCCCTTTCTTTCTCCTCTGTATGACCGACATCAGCTCCAGGCAGTCTGCGCACTCCCAGTGCTTCAGCTCCTCTTCCCCTCCTCCATCCTTACAACTCCCAGCCTCTGAGTTTCCTTCACATTCATACAGGTAGCAGCTGTTTTTCTCCCCACTCCAGTCCTGCTCTCACTGTCAGTAACACAGATAAGTAGAAAATCTTTCTCAGAAGTGCTCTCCTCTGCAGAGTGAAGCAAGGGTTTGGCTGGAGAACGTTTAGGTATTGATTTAACTACAGTAAAGTCTGCTGGTGGTGCAGCTCAGCATACTGTCATGTACCTCCATTTTTTGTTGACAGTGTCATGTCACAATGCATTGAAAACAGAGGCACATGACAAGCATGCTTGTTCCAGCTTGGGGCTCGGGGAAAGTGCGGCCACATCTCAGAGCAGAATGAGGGGGCAGCTCACTCCAGATGTAACCACCCACTCCAATATTTCAAACCCAAGGAGGACCATAACTGCCCTAACCAGGACTTGGAATGGGGACACAAAAACAGACAAACAGACGAAAGAAAGGAAAGCTGTTCTGTGGTGAGGGTAGTTAATACTATTTATTTGTACTATCCCATACTTCTCTTCTAATTCTCTGGTCATTCGGAAGCCAGAGAAGGGATTGTCAGGGAGGAGTGGTGGACACTGAGCGGTGGTTGGTAAGGTAGATGAGTCTGACAGCAACATTCATGACAGACTGAAGTGTGGATAGCCTATGTAGAGATAGGCCTATTTGAATGGAGTTGTAATAGTTAAGGTGAGAGATATCAAGGGAGTAGCTTGGTGGTCTCATTCGTTAAAAAGGGGCAAATTTTAGAGATGTTGCAGAGGTGAAGTCTACAAGTGATTGGATTTAGGGCTGAAAGGACAGGTCAAAGTCTAGATTACATCTAGTATCCTGACATGATGGGACTCATAGTTGTATTATTGATCCTGATGGAAAGGTCAGGGAGGAGGGTATAGGCGAGGGAGAATATTACAAGCTCAGTTTTAGAAAGATTTAATTTTGTAAGTTATTAATGTGAGAGGAGACTGATGGAGTGAGGTGAGGAGCAGAGAAATAATTTTGGGTGTCATCAGTGTAGAGATGGTATTGGAAGCCCTGGGAGGGGTTACCAAGTGACCAAGAAAGGAGGTGTAGATAGAGAAGAGGTACAAGAACAGAGCCCTGGGGGACTCTGAAAGAAAGAGGAGGTGGAGAGGAGGAGAAAATGGTTGTAGGTAACACTGAAGGAGTGCTGTGATAGATAGGAGGAGAACCAGGAAAGAGTAGACTGGAGTAGAGTTCATTGAGAAGGAGCGGGTGGGTCATCAGTAACATTAATTAACTGACTGGTTGCATACACCTAGAACAATTTTGTTAAGAGAGTGGGGTAACAGTTTGTTCTAATTTTATACTGATTGGGTCCAAGCACACTTAAAGAGTAAGACAACCACCCATTTTAATCTTTCTGCCCTGAGCTCTGGTTCACTTTGTGTAGCTATGATGTCTGATCTTGTTAAAGCAATACTAAGGCTAACAATTTGACTGAGGTTGGAGAAAGGCAGCAGAAGACAGTGGGCTGAAAGGTCCAGGCAGTATAATTTCAGCCCTCGTGACATCACAAAGCAATTATAATGTTAGATTACTGAACTGCTTTACAGTCTTGGATCTTCCAGGGTCCAAACATCCTTATTGCAGGTCAATTCTAGAGGCTTTCTAATGTGCGTAGCTCTGCACAGGCATGCTTTTTCCTTGAACCCAACACATGCAGTCAGCCCTAAATGTGGTCTGCCTAACACCCACTCAGCATAGCATATCTCCTGAAAAAGAAAGCATTAAATTATATCCCACACGTTGCCACAACAAAACCCAACCGCCCTCTTACTTAAATTATCTAGACTTGATTATTACATAATATTTTGTTTTTAATCAATCCAATGTTCAGCTGTAGGAAACAAGCTGGCAAGTCAGACAATAATAAATCTCATAAAATAATGATGCATATTACGTTTTAAAATAGTAAAGCAATTTCAAGAACATTCTCTTGTTTATAATAGTGGATGACTTTTCCAAAACTTTTGACATAAATTAAAAGTGTATAAGTAACCTGTGAGGAGAGAGATATGGGTGTCCTCAATCCTGACTTGACTTTTAAAGATGGAAGATGGGGGGCTGCTATCCTGATCCTTGCTTTACCAGCTATGGAGTTGCTGTCCTAAAGTAAAGCATGAACAAGTGTTTTCATTATGGAATCAATAGTAGCTATGCCACATCAAATGTACCGTATCTCTTCCCTGTAACTCCAGCTCCCAGGTGCATGCCCAGGACAAACTCCCCGCTCAGCTGTGCCACAATTAATCCTTTAATGGAGTAAAATGCGTTGGAGCAGGAGGTAGATAGGTGAGACTATATGTTGTGAATCCTCTATTTGGTATATTGAAGCTGGCTTTACATAAGTAATGGCATCAGTGTGCTGCCCATTAATTTCTACTTGACAAGAGTTTTCACTAGTTCCATGCTTGTTACGGGTTCCAGACTCCCTACAGTCTTACTCTTTAAATCCAAATCTGTGAAGGCACTTCCCATATTAATGTTCTCACAAGTTTACTTTAACAGCATTATTGTTATTATTTTTATTACAGAATTATTGTTTTAAAACAATGTATTTCATTTTTTTTTTTTGCAGACTGTGGTCCATTGTCTACTAAAAAGGTACAACATAACCATTACAAAACAAGCAACACAGAGTGTTATGTAATGGAGGCTGTGTGTAAAAGGTTACAGTAAATAAAGGCAGAATGCAAGGAAATAAGGGGAGAAAAAGCATTAGAAGACATTTAAATAGGAATGTAACCTTGAAAGTGAAATAGCAGAGTGGATAAAAGAAGGGTACATAATAATAATCTGAATATAAATGATCTGATTGTCATATTTGATGGAATGTTTTTTCAAAGTTAATAAATGGGAACAAGGAAGGAGTTTGTAAGCAGTAGGAGAGAACCAAGTCATATATTTGGTTATTAGTGAAATGATGATGTGTGAGTAAAAAGCACTAGTAATAACATAAATATGTAATTTGCTTGCCAAACAGGGCCGTGGACCGCCAAATAAAAGAACAGACTCAGGTATGTTGTTTTAAAGAACATAACACATATATAGTTTGTACTTTAAATTGCATCTGCCTAGATGGTACACTTTGATTACAACCAAAATGTATAATAATGACCCTGTTAAGATCTTCTTTGAGTAGTCATTTTATGAATATACGTACAAGCAAGTTCCAATGTAGCAGTGTCCAATGAAAGCTGTTAGCACCTTGGTGTGCATATATAAATTAATTATTGCCATGAAAAAGGTGTTGTATGCGTTCTCTGCCAATAATTGACCTGCATATATGCTGCCACTGATGTTAAAGTGTATGTAAACTCTAACAATTAACTTTTCTTATGTTCTCCCTTCAGGTCTGTTAAATGTACGTTTGAAGTGATTTGTTATGTCTGTTTAATAAATGCAAAAAAAATACCTGTTGATTTTACCAGAAATCATGTGAGCTGATAACTTGCTGTGCAGTCACCATGTGCACAAGCTGGGGTTATGAAGATGAAACAGTTTGATGCAGTTGGAAGGTACAGGCGCATTGTCCAGCCCCACTGCTAACACCCTGAAAAAGTCTATGAGAGGCTGACAGCTGCTGTGTCTGGACAGTGTACCGAATGCTACTAATGTTTAGGGCAGTACGCACCCAGGGATGAATGCCTAGAATACAAGCTGCCTGCGCAAGCATTTGTCCTAGGGCGCATACTGCCCTCAACTCTAGTATCTCTTGTACTTTCCACCTACACCTAAACAATGGAGCCTCATGATTGGGGGGTAAACACCCAGTGTACATGGGCCCTTAAAGCCAAGCTAGACCCTCCTATCCTTTTCAGCCAAGCAAGCTGTCATCTTACAGACAGAAAAACAGCAGTGCTAAAAAATTGACACAGTGTAGGACTAAAAAATTTTTTTAAATAATGCATAATAATTATTAATGATGATAATAAATCAATAATAGATATTAGTGATAGCAAACAAAAGTGGATGAAGCGCTATGACTGGCGCAATAAAATTAGTGCAGCTGTGAAAGTCTTAAAGCAAAAAGTGTTCATAAGGTGGTGAAGGTCTGACATACACCGACCGGTCAGAATACAGTGTTCCAAATGGCTCCTATTGTACAGGTGGTGTCAGATTATTCCATGTGACTTTATCCGTGCGTCAAATTGATAAAAATGCGCACTCACCAGATGCGCATAATTAAATTGCAATGTGTTGAAATATTGACCAAGAATCTGCAGGAAGCCCCCTTTAGATGGACCAGACAGAGAGCGTATATATGAGGTCTAGGGTTCCTTTTTAGTGCATTTGCGGCTGATCTAATCAGATCTCTGAGCACTCGCTGTTCCTTTGTTCATTTTCTAAGCTGTCATCTTAGTCTTTGTTTGATCTGCAACTGCTATGGTGGTGCACATGTGATCAGGTATTACTCCAGCTATTTGATGGTTTGACAGTTTGATTGACAGCACAAGCAAATGTGCCGATTAGCATTCCAGGCATGTTGGGAATATAACTGTTTTTTGAAACTGGTAAATCGATGGGTTTAGTTCCTCTTTAAGATGCCAAATAGCTAGATCACAACTTAATGCAATCTGGACAGTTTTGGCCCATGTGTGAACAGCTTTGGCGTCTTTTTCTGCTGTTTCTATGGCGATAATAACCTGTTTATTTGCACTTCTGAGAACAATAATTGCAATACAATTGATGTATAAAATGCTTGAAAACTAATAAAAAATGCAAAGTTACAAGCATTATTTAACTGAATTTTTCATATACTAACCCTAACTGCTACTAATGTGTGAGTTGAAGGGTTAGATCAGAAAAAAGCAAAAAAGTGAACACCCTACAGACTCCCACCCTCCCCCTCGCAGCCCCCACTGTACTTATCTCCCTGGGTGATGAACGTTTAGGGCCCAAGCAACCAGGGCAGTGGCCCAGGGATTTGAAATCCCTGCTTTTCTCCCTCTTTTTTCTGCAGCAATTTCAGGATGATTTAGAGCGATTTTGATTGGTCAGTGCCAGCAAAGAGCATTGCTCTGATCTGTCCAAGAAGCCTGCAGAAAGAAGGAGGAGAAAAGTGAGGATTTAAAACCCTCAGACTGCTGCACCACTTACATAGGCACTGGCAGCTTAACGCTCACAGAGGTAAATACAGTGGGGATCAGGGGGTTGAAGAGGCTGTAGGGCGTTAGTTCACTTACTCATTTGTTTCTGAAAAGTGAAGTTTAAGGCACATGAACATACATTAGCCTAGGATGAAGCTTAGTAAGGATGGGATTTGTTGTTACACTAATTGGATAGATATGGACAAAACTATACCCTACCTGATGTGTACTGCATCCACTAAGCATCAAATATATCTAAACCCAAGAACAAAAATGCAATATATTGTAGCTTATCGGTCCTTAGATGCCGTGGTTGCAGTTGTTTTCTATTTTCAAGCTAAGTGCATTTTCTTCAAGTGCAGAAAAAAAGCATGTAATCCTGCTTCCTTGTAACTTTCTGTGCATTAAAAGGATGTCTGCCTTCCCAGCTGTCTTCTGTGAACTACAAAACACCTCTCTTTGTATACTAAACATGACAGGAGGAAGAAGCATTTGTAGTTCAATCAGTAGAGTAGACCAGTGTGACAACATTGCTCTTCCATTGATATAGAACCCTGGGTTGTCACCCTAGGACAGGAAGTGTGTTACTGGCAATATTACCAGGTGTAAAAGACAGAAAACAGCCTGAAAAAATAAAACAAATACAGCCACCACATCTAAGGACTGGTATGCGGTAATACGTTACCATTTTGGTTTTGGATTTGGATATGCTTTTAAGTATTTAATATAGAACACGGCTACATTTATTTGGAAAAAATAAGAAGACACTATTTTATCCCAGTGCCCTGAGCAAAAGAGACTGTAAGAGCTTATGGCTCATAATTGAATTGGAAAGATGGGTCACTTATTGCCCTTCATTTTTTAAATGTTCTTTGCTATGGCCAGCTTTATTGGTGGTGTTTTGGCTGCTCACAGATAAACTAAAGCTACTTCCCCATTAAATCAGTCTGTCTGTCAATTGCAGGTCTTACAAAGATGGAAACATGTCAGGAGTACTTCGGAATTCCTCCACCGCCTATTGCTTTTGGTCCACCACTGAAAATGCAAAAAGGGGATGTTATAGAACTGACAAAAGCAGAAGCTGAACAGAACTGGTGGGAGGTGCGTCTTCTGATTTTCAAATGCACTGTGCATTTTTGTGCTGTATCATCTCCTTCTGGAGTATCATTTTTATTGACTGTTTCACATATTTATTATTTTTTAAGTAGCAATGACATGTCACTAGACAGTATCTGCAACCTGTTGCTCAAGCAGTACCTATGTCTATCCATCTTTTATCCATTCTAGTCGGGGCTAATATGCAAACACTAGTCCAAAAGCAGCGCAAAGTGCTGGCGGCTGCAGCCTGTACGATTCCATATACTGTATCATTTTCGAGTTTGTTAGGATGCAAGCTAAGCCCTGATTACAGTTGTGCTTAAAAGTTTGCATACCCTGGCAGAAATTGTGAAATTTTAGCATTGATATTGAAAATATGACTGATCATTCCAAAAAATGCTCTTTTACTGAAGGATGATGATCATATGAAGCCATTTATTATCAAATAGTTGTTTGGCTCCTTTTTAAATCATATGATAGCAGAAATCACCCAAATGGACATGATCAAAAGTTTCCCTCCCCTGGAATGTTTGGCCTTGGTACAGACACACAAGGTGACACACACGGGTTAAAATGCCAATTAGAGGTTAATGTCCCACATCTGTGGCTTTTTAAATTGCAATTAGTGTCAGTGTATAAATAGTCAATGAGTTTGTTAGCTCTTACATGGAAGCAATGACTAGGCTAGATATTGAGCCATGGGGATCAGAAAAGAACTGTCAAAAGTCCTGCATAACAAGGTAATCACCTATTAAGAAGTGGAAAGTTTGGGGATCTCTGTATACCAAGCCAAGGTCAGGTAGACCAAGAAAGATTGCAGCTATAACTTACAGAAGAATTGTCCGGGATTCAAAGAAAAACCCAAAGGCAACCTCAAAAGAAATACAGAATGCTCTGGAAAAAGATGGTGTGGTTGTTTTTAAGGAGTACAATACGGTGATACTTTTGATCATGGCCATTTGGGTGATTTTTGTTATCATTATGATTTAAAAAGAAACCAAACAACGATTTGATAATAAATGGCTTCATATGATCATCATCTTTCAATAAAAGAGCTTTTTTGGCATGATCAGTCATATTTTCAATATCAATGCCAACATTTTGCAATTTCTGCCAGGGTATGTAAACTTTTGAGCACAACTGTATTTGGTTAATTGGAATCTATAGTGTTTTACATTTATACAAAAAAAAAATTCTGATCCCTTACACAGCAGAGAGCCATGTGAGGGTTCCATGATCAGTAATGCTGAATAAGTGTACTAACATATACTGCCTGATTGAGGGATATTGTCTGCTGCTTAGAGGCATGTATTGTGTACACTAGACAAAAGAGAGAACTTTCAGTACACCCCTGTCTGTAACTCTCACATTCTACATTCTACAATGACAAGCAGCTTTCTATCTCTTTATTCTGCACAACTTCCATCCATGAACTGTGCTATTATATGATACTGTTGTCTACAACAAAGATTATATTTGATGCAGTCCTTTATATGTTGTTATCCAGTATTAGGTGAGATTTTATTTCTAGCCAACTACATTAATATATCAGTTGTTGGCACAATCCTGTCACAAGGTTGAGTATCAACCACCAAGTTGATAATGTGTACACCCCCCATGATGAAAGCTCATAGATGCAAGTATATACCCATGTATATGGTGTACAATGAGGATTACAGCAATTGAGCTCCTAGGGTGACATACCTGACTATAACCCCTTCCACAGGGCTGTAATTATTTACCCTCTTGACAGATGCTCACATTATCAAGCTGGAAATTCAGCAGTAGAGCTCCAAAAGGGTGATTTATTTGTTGCTTATACAGTCATGTTTAGTTAGTACTACTTTGCTGGGCAGTATACTGCTTTATGAGCTACTAGTTTGATGATTCCCCATTTTTATCCCCTTCACGCCTAAGGGTAAAACAAATCTTAAAGCTTAAGTAAAATTTTACAAATTTGGCATGTGTTAGTAAAACCGTACATATCAGAACTGCTTTGCACATCCAGGTGGATTATACTGTGTTTTTTTCTGGACAAATTGGGCTTTCATTTGGTGGTAAATTGTAATGTATATCTCCTGATTTTTATTTTATTATCAAAGGAAAACTGGCTCAAAATAGTAAAAAAATCATTTTTTTAAATTTAGCTGTGTGTTTCTTGTTACTACCATAACCTACTACCAAAGAACAACCCAAAATAAATTTTCCAGCTCTTGACGATCGCAGCAATACCATATGTGTATGTTATTTGTACCTGTACTACAGCCCAGAAACAATAGTTTCCTTTTTTTTTTTTGTTTTTTGGGTTTTTTTTTACCTAAAACACACTGACATTAGCTGACGCTGATACCAATTTTTTTAAAAATTATCCTGACCTTTGACCTTGACCCAAACACTAACCCTGGCACTGAACTAGATCAAACCTTGATCTAGGTATTTTTTAATATTTATTTTTTTTTCTGTTTTTTTCTTTTTTTACAAACAGTTGTTTTTTTCCCATCTCTCCAAGGAGTGAGAGAGATACAGTTTATCTCTCTCCTCCATTCAGAGAGAAAAAAACCAAGGGGGACGGGCTTCACAGTGACTGATCACTCTGATAGCCAATCAGAGGCTATCACAGCGATCATGTGACCCGGAAGCGGGGGTCCCGATTGTTAGAATGGGACCCGGGGCTCTCTGTGACACCCCATTATGCAAATATGCAGCCCCATGGAAAAAAGCCCAGTTCCATGTGGCCACATATTTGGGGCAGCACAGTGGCTAAATGGTTAGCACTTCTGCCTGGCAGTACTAGGATCGTTAGTTCGAATGCCAGCCACGGCACCTCCTGCCTGGAGTTGGCATGTCCCTGTGCCTGCGAGGGTTTCCTCTGGGTACTCTGGTTTCCTCTCACACTCCAAAGACATGCTGGTAGGTGAATTGGATCCTGTCTAAATTGTTCTAGTATGTGTATGTATGAATGTAAGCTAGGGACCTTAGATTTTACACCCCTTGAGGGTTAGGGACTGATGTGAATGTATAATATATATATGTAAAGCGCTGCGTAAATTGACGGCGCTATATAAGTAGCTGAAATAATAATAATAAATAAATTTGTGTGACCTTGGCGGCAAGGGGTTAAAGCCCTAGCCATATCCAACACCCACAGGGTTTATATAGCTAAGTGGGCAGGTAAAACGAGCAAAGTCGGAGCATGAAACTGATGAACTAAACAAAAGGGTTCTTTCACATGGGCGTTACATTTTTTTCATCAGTTTAGTCATGTCTTTTCCAAGAAAAAAACGGATCAGTTCACATCCATTTTTCATCAGTTTTCATCCATTTTTCATCTGTTTACATCCTTTTTTTTTTTACATTCTCTACCTATGCAAAAATGGACTATATATCCGTTTACATCCAGTTTCCATCTGTTTACATCCATTTTTCGTCCGTTCCAGTTTTTATTTTTACGGAAGAAAAATAGGGTTTTCTTCCGTTCAAAAAAAAACAGATGTTAACGGATGCGGACATTAACATATGAGCATCCGTTTACATCAACTAGTCTACAGAAATACATGGGTGTCCATTTTTCATCTGTAAATGGACAGATGAAAAACGGACATACGGAGAGCCCATGTGAAAGGGGCCTAAGTCTCATTGCAGTAATTAATTACCTGCACCTGAATTAAGCACTTACCCATGAGTAAAGAGGTACCCGGGGGTGTGATTGGCTCTTTATTACCTAAGGCCCCTTTTTGACTGTCAAAACCAGGAGGGCAAGTTACAAGAGTACCCAGAGGAAAGGGGTAACCACCCTTAGGGTCTTCTTTGTGCTTATGGTTAATTTGGCCTTCACCATGTCCCAATGGAAAAGTGTGCTATTAAACTCAAATCTTATTAACACACATCACGTGGGAGCTCCCCTTAGCACTGATAGCTACATACATCACATAATAGACCTAAGGTTGTTGGATCAGTGATGATGCAGCTGACAGTGACATATACACGGACGTCCTACTATCCCTGACACTACTGTGTTGCTTTTAAAGTAAAGTTATTAAGAAGGTGTTGTGAGCTACCTAACTTTTCTAATTTTACTATTACTATTTTTCTAATCCTTTTTTGTATTTAATAAAATTATTTTTACACAGTATTTACTCTTTTCAAGCCACATCTGTTGCCAATAGTAACCATTTTCTCAAACTGCAGCATCTATGCTGAAGTTTTTATCATTTTTATGACAATTATTTGGGTTATGGTGACAGCAATGAACGCAGTGAGTTGGCACGCTAAAGTATTTGAGCGTACTCTTGCATTTTTTATAGGTCTCAGATAAATCAGAAAAGGGACATGCCTCCCTCCCCTGTACTAGCAGAGATAGTGGTGTCTTAACTAATGAGTGAATACAGCCATAAAGGATACATGCTTCGTTATTAGCAAACCCAGCATTCTTACGAAGTAGTAATTACACCTTGCAAAAAATTTTTATAAAAAAATAATAATTTTCTACACATAACTATGAAAAAGCAAGTTATGTGTAGAAAAAACATAATACATTACTATAAACCTTTATAGTTTCCTCTTTAAAAAAGTTCACAGGAGGGGGCGTGGTTAGGATGTGAGCCGGGATGGATGCTCTGGGATCATCCGTGTCATTTATTCTGCGACTTTTCATAGCATCCAGAGGTAGGAGAAGGCCGCCCAAAGATCTGAAGCCGCAGCTACAGGGACAGGCCACCTGTTTGAGCGGTGCCATCTTGCCGCCTCACTTTTGTAAGGCTTCACAGGGATTGCCATGGATGGAGAGCGTGGCTTCCTCTCCTCAGCCCTCGGCCCCCTCTCTCACATCATTGGCTTCCACCTCACCAGAGGCTATGGACCATGGGTCAGAAACGATTATCAAATCGACCCTTGACGCCATAGAGGGTTGTAAAGCGGTGCTTGTACTCAGAATAGAACACCTAGCAACTGAGTGCACTGATCCGCCATGATCTTGACAAGATCAGGGAAAGACTTACTGAGGCAGAGGAACTGACTCGCTGCAGGACGCACAACACTCACATACTGCTCAGCTTATCTCTCTGCAATCCCAGGTTACTTCCCTGACTAGCAAGATGGAAGATGCTGAAAACAGGTAGAAACGCAACAATGTCAGAGTGGTCGGCACACCAAGTAGATGGTTCTAATTCAGCTACTTTTGCGGAATCATTCTTTAAACAGCTATTTAACATGCCTGATATGCCTTCTATCTATGTGGTCGAGCGAGCTCATAGGGTACCTATCAGCCAGCTGGAGCCCCTCCTCGTCCATATTTGGTGAGATGCTTGAATTGCCAGGATTGGGATATGATTCTTGGAGAGGCCAGGTAGTGACCTGAATTGCCCTTGGAGAAATCTGGGAACAGCATCACTCTGGTATTCTCAGTGGAAACGAAAAAATGGAGCAGATCCTTTAATGATATCTGCCGACGCTTGAGCAAAAAAAGTATGCTCTACCCTAGTAGGCTCCAAGTATCTTACCACGGAGGGGTGAAATTCTTTGACACTGCTCTGGAGGCCAGTGAGTGGCTTGATTTGAGTGAGTACTGACTTTTTGTTCCTGACATGGGCTCCGCTGGGGCTTTTGCCGCATTGCGGCTGTCACCTGTTATGGTCCCTACCTGTGGGATGTGCCTACATTACTTGCACTTTATCTAGTAGGATTCCTGCTCCTGCTCTGAGGGAAAGATGTCCACAATATTTGAAACCTCATAGACCACATATAGTGTTTTTTCAGGAGACACACTTGGATGGTAGCAGGATACTTGCCTTGCAGCGCCCATGGGTGCAGATGGCGTTCCACCTATTCTAGAGAAGTGTCTATTCTGATTAGCAAGTCTGTGCTCTGTACTATCCAAGTGCTTTCTGATCAGGGAGACAGATATATAGTAGTTGTTGCTGATCTTTTCACCTTTAAAATTGTTCTGGTAAATGTATATGTACCTCCTCCATTTAATGTTTTAAGTTCTATATGACCTCATGGGTAGATTGACTCCTTTCATACACCTCTCATTTATCCTGGCTGGGGACTTTAATGGCATCTTGGATGCACTAAAGGATACGTCCAACCCACTGTGGATGCCTTCACAGGACCTGTCTGTGTGGGCTGCCACTTTATCCCTTACAGAACTGTGGCAATGGAAACACCCCAAATTGATTCATTTTTCGTATCTCTCCGAGTCCTCCTCTAGAATTGACCTGGCTTTCGCTAATGCATCCTTACTTCAGATGGTTAGGTCTACTGATTATCTTTCTGGTAGCTTATCTGATCATACTCCGCTTTCAGTGGTTTTGGGCTTTCCCTCACGTGTTCAGGGAGGTGCATGGAGGTTGTGCCCGGGGTGGTTGGATGTGGAGACGGTGTCCTCCCAAGTGGCTCCTGTGCTTGACGACTACTTGGCGGTAAATCTTTCCTCGACAACCCTCCCTGTGGTGTGGGATGCTTTTAAAGCTTGTGTACGGGGGCAGTTTATTTCAGCCATTAAGACTGCTAGACAGGATTATAATTCCACCCTGTGGTGGTTCCAGGAGGAGGAACGAACTTACGAATTTGCACATGCCTCAGATCCTTCCCCGGTCACATTTGAGAAATTACTTGCGGCCAGACACCAATTACCTCTTCACTTGACTGAACTTACTCAAACATCCTGGTCTAGGAGGGCAGAAGAACTTTTTGAGCAGGGTGATAAAAAATGGCAAGCTTCTGGCCATGTTGGTGGTGGAGCAGACAGTCCATAAAAATATCCCTTGTATTAGAACCCTGAGTGGTGAATTAACTACTGATCCTCTGATCATTTTAGGCATTTTTGGTTAACTACTATAGTAAATTGTATACCCCCATTCCGGCATATGATGAAGTGCTGGAAGGCTTTCTTGAAGACCTGCCTATCCCTACCTTGGAGACAGCTGTGGCCAAACTCCTGAATGGGAACATTACAGTGGAAGAAATTGAAATGGCTATCTGTTCCTTTCCACCTCACAAATCACCTGGCCCGGATGGGATTCTGGGTGGAACGGTATAGACATTATATTGGGCTTTTAGGGCCTAGGCTACACTCTTTGTACCATTACTGTCTGGATAACTCTGTTTTGCCTGCCTCTATGTCTGTAGCTCATGTAGTCCTGTTACCCAAACCGGGTAAAGACCCTATGGAATGCTCCTCATACAGGCCGATTGTGTTACTTAACCTGGATCTTAAAATATTGACCAAGATATTAGCTACGAGGCTTTCCCGGGTCATCACTGATTAGTTGATATAGACCAAACAGGGTTTATTCCTATTAAATCCACGCATACTAATTTGAGAAGATTATTTACACATTTGGAGATTGACCATGCTAATCGTGGTAAACAGGTGGCGGTGTCATTGGACATGGAGAATGCCTGCGACTCTGTGGATTGGGACTATATGATCTCTGTTCTGTGCCATGTGGGTTTTGGGCCTAAATTCCTTACTTGTATTTCTCTGTTATACAGCCACCCCACTACAGCACTTAAAATCGGTAATGGGATCTCACCTTATTTTCCTGTGAATAGGGGTATTAGGCAGGGATGTTTTCTGTCCCCATCCCTTTTTGCACTGATGATGGAGCCAATAGGTTATTGCTTTGAAGACATCTCTGGAGGTGAATGCGCTGGAAGTGGGGGGGAAATCATCTTATTCAACCAGATGGGATAGGATACTCTGTTGCCTCTCCGTTATGGTTCAATCCCCGTCTGCCACGTCTGAACACTATTTCTGACCCCGCAGTCTGGGCTACTAAAGGAATTAAGCAACTGAGGGATATACTGGAAACCGATTGCCTTTGATGAACTTAAGCTTTGGTTTCACCTCCCTAACTGGTATTTTTTTTTAGATAGCTCAAGCTACGTCATGCTTTTGTAATACAGTTTGGTGGTTTCCAGGTCCTCAGAGCTGGAGCAGTTGCTTAGCCCTGATACTCTTAAGAAAACTCTATCTGAGGTATATAAAGAGCTCTTTGTCACCAGACTTAAGTCTTTAGAGAAATGCCAGACGCAATGGATATCTGTGGTCCCAGATCTGCAGAGGGATGACTGGGATATGTGGGACTATCCCTCCCTCAACTTGGTATCGGCCAGAGGCCGACACATCCAATTTAAATTGGTGCATAGAATATACTACAAGCCTGCTAGGCTAGCACATATATATGCCTCAGATTCAGTGGAATGCTGGCGTTGTACATCTTCTTTAGTAGACTTTGACCATATTTTTTGGTACTGCCAGATGATTCAAGACCTTTGGCGTGAAGTGGTCCGATCTCTAGTCAATATCACTACATTGCAAATTCCGCAAACTCTATCGGTGTGCCTTCTTGCGCTGGTGGAGGAGTTGGCACCTCTGCGCACACAGCGAACCCTCATTTCAGTGACCCTGTGCTATGCTCATAAGACTATCTTGCTCCACTGGAATAAACCTTCATCTCCCACTATCTCTTATTGAAAATCCCTGATTAACAAGATGTTACCATTTTATAAGGTGACCCAAAAATTTGATAAGATCTGACATTGTTGGGTTTCTGCTTCCCCTATTCTAGCATGAACCTATAGGGGAGTTTGCAGATGTTGACTGCTACTATGTTAGGTCCTTGGTATCTGTTGAAAAATAGATCTTATACATTGATTGTCCAATATTACCTTGCTTGTGGTTCTCTTGGTATGTTACATGTGAAGTCACTATTTTGTAATGTTGGGGCACCTGGACTTTGACTGTTTTAAAGAAGGCATTGCACTGTTGTTGGGAAGGGGGGTGGGGGGAGGGGATAATTCTGTTGTTTTATTTTTGTTCTTACTGGCTGTGCCATTTAATTGTATTTTTCTGTGTATTATGCTTGTTAAATTCAATAAAAAGAATACCAGAAAGGCAAACACAAGTTTGAAAAGTGTAGGAATCTCTAACATCAGAAATCTCATATTGTTGTGCCTATTCTAAGCTGGTGAAAGGAGAAATCTAGTTGCTATGCATAACTGTACATTTTATTTTCTGGTTTCACAAACTGAAAAAAGCTCAATTATTTGTTTTAGGGTCGCAATACTTCCACCTACGAGCTTGGTTTCTTCCCATGCAGTCATGTGAAGCCCTATATATATGTAAGTGATGTTTTAAACTACTGTGAATGAGTTTTTTCTTGGTGGGGCATGTTACTTATTTATGATAAGTATTCTTATATCAACAATGGTGTTGGTAGGTAAATAATGCATCACATCCCCATGTGACCGATTTCTGATTGGTGATAGACCTATAAATGTATTTGTAACACTGCCCATACATGCATTGCGGTTGATTTACTAAAGACAATTATTTTATTTTCCTTTCTTCACTACCTTACCTCAGCTCTGGTGAAAATGAGAGCAATTACACAAAGTACTCAGTCTATTTGCCTTTAGTAAATCAACCCCAATGTGTTAGGTTCCATTGAAATATATTTGCAAATTATGAAAGCGATATGGTTTACAAGACAGACACTCACTGTAGGATTCAATGAATCCCTCAGGGATTGCCTATTAACATATATGGGCCATTGGGTAAATGCTGTCTGTAATAACATGTGTGCCTGTATTATACTACTTCTAATATAGATATTGATGTTTTCTCAACAGCATCCAGTACCTGATTTCTCAGTATATTCTTGGTAAGAGCTTTGTTTATATGGGTTTGTAAAGACAGATAAGCAGTCAAACAGATGTAAGTTGTGTGTAAAAGTTGTAAAGCGCTGCATAAACTGTTGGTGCTGTATAAATCCTGTATAATAATAATACAAAAACCTGGACCAATATAGAAATGCTTAGCTACAATAACGTTATTTTGTGTTATAGCAATCTTTAATAGAAAAATTAAGGCAAGCATTGTAAACTACAGCCAGTACTTCTATTCGAAACTGTATTCAGCAATCCCAGATTGAAGTTCAAGGGTGCTTTTTTAAAAAAAAAAAAATAAGGCAGCTGCTGTTGTCATAATGTAGCAGATAGATTACTAGCTGCTCTTAAATTCAAGATCTACCTAGGATGCATAGCACAGCATACTAAGCCTTTCTGTTTAACAGCAGATACTTGGCCTTGACATTTTCCACATTTTGTCATGGTACAATACAAAATGTAAATGTATTTTATTGGGATTTTATGTGATAGACCAACACAAAGTGGCACATAATTGTGAAGTGGAAGGAAAATGATAACTGGTTTTCAAAATGTTTTACAAATATGTGAAAAGTGTGGCATGCATTTGTAGTCAGCCTCCGAGTCAATACTTTGTAGAACCACCTTTCGCTGCAATTACAGCTGCAAGTCTTTTTGGGTATGTCTCTACCAGCTTTGCACATCTAGAGAGTGACATTTTTTGTCCATTCTTCTCTGTAAAATAGCTCAAGCTCTGTCAGATTAGATAGAGAGCATCTGTGAACAGCAATTTTCAAGTCTTGCCACAGATTCTCAATTGGATTTAGGTCTGGACTTTGGGCCATTCTAACACATGAATATGCTTTGATCTAAACCAGTCCATTGTAGCTCTGGCTGTACGTTTAGGATCATTGTCCTGCTGGAAGGTGAACCTCTGCCCCAGTCTCAAGTCTTTTGCAGACTCTAACAGGTTTTCTTCTAAGATTGCCCTGTATTTGGCTCCATCCATTTTCCAATCAACTCTAACCTGCTTCCTTGTCCCTGCTGAAGAAAAGCATCCCCACAACACGATGCTGCCACAACCATGTTTCATGGTGGGGATAGTGTGTTCAGGGTGATGTGCAGTGTTAGTTTTCTGCCACACATAGCGTTTTACTTTTAGGCCAAAAAGTTAAATTTTGGTCTCATCTGACCAGAGCAACTTCTTCCATGTTTGCTGTGTCCCCCACATGGCTTCTCGCAAACGGGACTTCTTATGGCTTTCTTTCAACAATGGCTTTCTTCTTGCCACTCTTCCATAAAGGTCAGATTTGTGGAGTGCACGGCTAATAGTTGTTCTATGGACAGATTCTCCCACCTGAGCTGTGGATCTCTGCAGCTCCTCCAGAGTTACCATGGGCCTCTTGGCTGCTTCTCTGATTAATGCTCTCCTTGCCTGGCCTGTTAGTTTAGGTGGACGGCCATCTCTTGGTAAGTTTGCAGTTGTGCCATACTCTTTCCATTTTCTGTAAGTCATAAAATATGCAGCGCTCATAAATTAGGTCTCAAGATCCACAGGAACCTATTAGCATACAATTATTCTAAATATACCATTAAATATAAAGCATATAGAACTGGTGACTTCTATGGTGCATCCCCGGTTGGAGAACCGGAACAAAGTTCGTGACTCTTGTGTTGGACAAGCTGAAAGAAGTTTGCACTAACCAGATATCTCAGCACATGGAGCATGGAGTAATTAAGACCTACTCCTGGTACTCTGAAAGGAAGCCACTGGAAAGGATGATGTCATCTGATCTCTCGCCACTAGATGTCATGTTCCCAGAACAGCAGGACGATGATTCCAGAAATGCACATCAGCCAGTAAGGAGATGAATCCAGCAAGCCAGCCAGCATCACACAGGAGACCAAGAGGAACCAGGCACCTTCAAAAAGCCCAGGCTCCCTCCAATAAAGAGAGCCACAGGCCAGAAGCTTTGATAGTGTAGTATTGCATTTATTAAGTAGTAATTCAAAATGACAAGAAAAACCACACTTACAAAAGGTCACAGGAACAAGGGGCAGCTAAAAGATATGTCCAGACAGTGGGGGGGGGGCACCTTCATCTTTCCATTTTCTGATGATGGATTGAACAGTGCTCCATGAGATTTTCAATGTTTGGCATATTTTTTTAAAACCTAACCCTTCTTTAAACTTCTCCACAACTTTATCCCTGACCTGTCTGGTGTGTTCCTTGGTCTTCATGATGCTGTTTGTTTGCTAATGTTCTCTAACAAACCTCTGAGGGCTTCACCAAACAGCTGTATTTATACTGAGATTACATTACACACAGGTGGACTCTATTTACTAATTAGGTGTTTTCTGAAGCAATTGGTTTAACTAGATTTTAGTTAGGGGTATGAATGCAGACCACACTTTTCAGATATTTATTTGTAAAAATTTTTGAAAAACCATTTATCATTTTCCTTCCACTTTACAATTATGTGCCACTTTGTGTTGGTCCATCACATAAAAACCCAGTAAAATACATTTATGTATTTGGTTGTAACATGACAAAATGTGGAAAATTTCAAGGGGTATGAATACTTTTTTAAGGCACTGTAAATAGCCTCAGGTTCCATTACCTGTCTTAGTTATTTGTAGATGTTAATGGTCTGATAGGCTTTTTATTATTTTGATTAGAAATATAATGCACAAAAATTATCTTCTGTGCTTTGAAGGTATGCCGGTGGCATGGAAAGAAAAGAAACAGAAATATTATTGGCCAGTCGATCCGATGGGACTTTCTTGGTCAGACAAAGAGTAAAAGACTCAGCAGAATTTGCAATAAGTCTCAAGTGAGTAAATTGTTCTACATATTTTTTCCCATTTTAAATGTTGAGCTGTTTTACAGCTTTCCTGCCATAGTGCCAACTCTCCAATGACTATCTTCTTTGGACCTCACAAAGCATATATTGCCTTTACTGTCTACCATACTTCATCATTTATTACCCTATTTGCATCACCAGCACTTCTGGCAAACTGGCATCACTTGCTGTAATGTTATCAGCATAAAAGATCCAAGTCCCACAACTCATTGTTACTAGGGTTTGACCTTCTAAACAGCAGAAGTATTCGCTGGGCCGGGCCTGTTCCTCCATCTGCTGGCTTTCGCTGTCTGCCATCTCCTCAGTGTCCTGATCCCACCGCTGCCAACCAGTGTGACAGAGCGTAGGCAGGACAGAACACACAGAGTAGATGGCAAACACACAAAACTTAATTGAGGCAAACAGGTGACAGTCACCGAATAGGGGAGTTCACAGGGAGGGTGAATACGCCAGTACAGGGCGACACGGAAGGACCAACACACTTAAAGTCCAACACCGAGAGCCAAGGGAGAGTCTCTGTAGCAAGTAATCCAACAGGGAGTTTAGTGTGAGTCTCTGTAGCAAGTAATCCAACAGGGGGGGTTGGTGTGCGATCAGCACAAGAACAGTTCAAGTGAAGCAGGCAGAGAGCATGTACTCACGGATCCCTGGAGTCTAGCAGACAGTCTTCCCCAGCTCTGGGAGAAGGGGGGTGCTAGGCAGTCTTGGGTCTCTGCCGAGCCTGGCCACGAAAAGGTCCCAGCCGCAGCCCGGGCCCCTTCCGTCAGCTACACAGCAGTGAATACCTCGGGAGCCCTGGCATCAGCTTCTTAAAACTGGTCAGACCCCCCAGTCACCTAGGCAACCGGGGGGGGGGCCCGGAGGTAGTGTGGCTCCCTTGCCTTAGGAATGCCTTTCATCTTTGCAGGAGGGGGGGGGGGGCACGGATGAGAGACAGCAGAGAGAGCAGGGACAGAGCAAGGGGCTGAGAGGGGGGGCAGCTGTGACAGTAACCATTCTTGCAATGGCCTGGCAACTAGAGCTAAATTCCGGTATTACCAGGTCAAATCTGGTAGGTTCCTAGGTATGCTGATGTTGTGATCTCTTCTCTTCCAGAGGCATCCCCTTGTCATTTTGGGCCCCAGCACAGACAGAAAATAAAGTTAACACATGGTGACATTTGCCCTCTTAACCCTTTACTGTTTTTAGGTATAACCAGGAAATAAAGCACATGAAAGTAACTGTTCAAGAAGGAATCTGGAGACTCACAGAGAAAAAAGGCTTCAAGGGACTTCCAGTAAGTAAACAATTCTATTCTAACATATATGTATAAAATATTGGCTTAAAGTGTTAGATTGCAGACTCCACTTTTAGTTAGAGTGTTTTCTTGTAAGCAGGACATATCAGAATGATTGCATAGTAAGCAATCATTTGAAGTTGACTATATGGGAGAATAAAAAAATAGATACTACTAAAGACAAATATAAAAGTGGAGATTAAACTAAAGATATATGACCATGATACATATGCCCCATGCTGTTAGGTCATTAGTCAACTTTATTCTTGTATGAACTTTGACAGTCAAGCCTTTGATCACATTTTCCAAGTGACAGTGAATTTTGATGATGACCATGTGAGTAAGTCTTACAGCTACAGTGCAAGATATCAGCATTGATAATCACAAGAAATGGGACAATTATGAGATTTTATGCACAAAAACCGCTAAACAAGTACTTTGTCTTTGTCTAAAGATCAAGACATGATCCATTTAAGTCTGCATTGTGTAACTCAACCTAACAGTAAGATTGACATGATGACTAAGCTGTTACTGACAATACAATCTGTGATGTGTTATATTTATTGCAGGAATTGGTTGGGTTTTACCAACATAACTCATTAAAAGATTGCTTTAAGCTTTTGGATACAATGCTGCAGTTTCCTTTCAAAGAAGCAGAAAGGAAAGGAACCCCTAGAATGGCAGCAGATGGTACGTAAAAACATATTTCTGATTTACCTGATATTCTGGTTCAACTGACAGATAAATGGGAAGACGTATTTAAAAAGCAACAATAGACAAGTCAATTGGTAGACTATCAAGGGCTATATAACCACTATACAGTATATGGGCTTTATTGTTTGTTTTTGTAATTCCATGCAGCTAGATTAATCAATCTTCTCTTAGTGATTATAAGTAAACAACTGCAGCCTTTTATCACACGATTCTGTGCTTTGCAACCTCCTTCTCATGCTGGAGGCAAGGCTGTTTGGGTACAAAGAGCAGCTTGTGTTTAAAAACAGAGCACCCTAGTCATCATTTTTTACTGGCCTAGTGTACATGTGAAATTATGTTTAGCTTAAGTATATTCAACTTTTTTTGTGTTGTTTCAAAAACCTTCCCATAACTAATTTCAATTCCTGTGTTATCAAAAAATTTTAACAGGTTTAAAGGGAAACACCCTAACAGTGGTAGCATGGTTCCAATTCACCTTTAAGTTTAAGGAAAGGCATACTCAGGAATTTCAGTAAATGGGACTGGATGGCCTGTTGTAGGTGAAATAATTCAACATTAATATGTTGGCTGTAGAACGAAAGTGATTTCAACAGATACAATGTAATCTGTAGTGAAGTAATCCCCCTTTAAGCAAGTTAAATGCCACTCACAATTGTTCCTACAACTCTGCCCAAGAAGATTGGCTGCTATCCAGCTGCTGCTTGCCCTACTCAAATAGATCAGTTTCATGTCACTATTTCTGATGTTTTCTTGCAAAATTTGTCGATAAATTTTGATTTGGAACAAAACAAACCACATCTAATTAGTCTGAGATTCAGATGTATCCGAATTACAATAGTATTGAATTTAAAACAAATCTGAAATAACGAAACAGAATTTTGTCCAAAATAAAGAATGGTCCAAACTCGAATTGAACTGATATTTTCTGTTAGAAGTTGAATACTTCTGAAAATTCAAATCCATTCGAAAATGAATAAGCAAAACCAAACAAATTACGAAAATGGATCATCCGAAATTAACAAATGCAACAAAACAAAAGTTGTTAACCTAACAAATCCATCCAAAACTAAACAAATGTTTTAGTTCTGCACATTCTATTCACATTCTGGTCTATTTGTAGAGATGTTTTTCAATTAGTAGTCATAGATACTAATAATAAAAGACAAAATAGCACAGTATAGATCTATTCATCTTTGGTTTATGATCCATCTTCAGTCTACAAGGATGCATTTTATGTAGGCACATGTATAATAGTGACATCACAGAAAAGGTGTAAAAACTTAGAATAATATTCATCAAAAAATATCTATGGTTTTCTTTATTTATAGAGCTTATCTAGCATTATAGTCTTAGTTTGCAGTGGGAACAGGGGTATCGATGTTGACTGCTCTAATTCAAATCATCTTTTATATAAACTCCTGCGATAGATAAGAGGATGAAGTACTTTGGATCAGCTCGGGCACGTTATGACTTCTCTGCAAGAGACAGAACTGAACTAAGTTTGAAGGAAGGAGATGTCATTAGGATTCTCAAGAAAGGACACCAGGGCTGGTGGAAAGGAGAAGTTTATGGCAAGGTAAGATAGTGTCTACACATGACAAAGTTTTTAGTGGTAGAATGAAGATCACTTGGCCATATTGTAGTTTGCAATGTGTAGTAATGAATCCCTACCAATCAACTTTAACTTTTAGTTAGTACTACATTGATGAAGGGGAATATATAAGATTGTATGTATTACCATACTTAAATATGACCAGCAAACATGTATCAGAAAACTGTAACTTGCAAGTTTAGCAAGCATTGAAACACAGTCACCTCCACATTCAATATGCATCAGACCACTGTTCCCTCCAACTTCAGTATCCATTAAAACTATTGTCCTCTCCAAATTTAGTATGCATCAGCCCCTGCCCCCTCCAAGTTTAATATGTCTCAGACTATTGTCCTTTCCAAGTATAGTATGTGTCAGATTATTGCCCCTTCTACGTTAAGTGCAAATCAGAATATTGTCCCCTCCAAGTTAAGTATGCATCAGACTATTGTCCTTTCCTGATCAGTGTGCATTAGACCATTGTCCCTTTCAAGTTGAGGGATAAATTCACCTTTAAATAAATAAATAAATACACTTTTTTTTTTTTTTGCAGTTGAAAAAAATGTGTATTCATTATTTTTTTTTTTAGGAGCCTATAAAGCACTGCACCCACAATCAGCAGTTCGCAGGTGCAGTGCAGGGCTTTTGAGGATTGTCAGTGTATCTGTCTGCTCGTATGGGCAGCCGGTTACTCAATGACAGGAAAACTCATTGGACTACCTAGAGAGCTCATCAGTGCCCTGGTAGTCCATTGAGAACTCCAAGCTGTCAGCTGCAAAGGCTGTCAGTACTTGTAGTTCATACATTCACAGAACTCTGTGAATTAATGATATGGCTGTATGGGCAGAGCACCACAAGACTGCATTCTTTTCAAATTGTGACAGGTGTGGGGAGATCCCCGGCTTGCTGTCACAAATATTATGGGGTTTGGGGGGGGGGGAGGCTGCAGGAGCGGGAACATGTTACATGTTTTACCCTAAAAGCAGAAGTAACGTCTTCCCAAAGATGAACTTCGCTTTTGAAGCTGAATTCCAGGTATTAAAGTTATTACATAGTTATAATGCTCCAAGCATGTATGTGCCATACCTGTGAGATACCTCTGGAAATCACTGTAGTAGACACTGCTACTAGGCTACTGCTCTCCCTGCCCGCAACTTCCTGGGACACGTCACAGGTCCCAGGAGGCTGCGGGTCATTTCAGAAAGTGCAGCATAACCTGCACACGCGCAATGGGGTGCCGGCTGCCGGTACATGTGCACTACGCTTTGAATGGACAGCACACTTAAGTATACTGTCCATTCAGAGTGGCCAGTATACCATTCGTGACCATTCAAATGGTCAGAGCCCGCGAACCCTGAAGAAAGACTGGGTAAAGATGGAATCCCTGTTATCAGTGACAGCACGCAGCAGGGGGGATCCATTCTACAGGTACGTCTGTCATAATGTGCTAGTATGCGGTGCATACTAGCACATTATCACATTAACCTTCAGAGGGACAAGTTTTTTTTTCTTTTTTTACATAGTTTACTACCATAGTAGTATTTGTAGCTGCAGACTTTAAATTTTTATGCAAATGGATAGAATTCCTATTTAGGTAGGCATAAGACTCTTGTCTACTTCCATTCAATGTGCATGAGATCTCTAACCACTCCAGATTCAGTACCTACTGTATCAGAATGTTTTCCTATTCAGTTGTTGTATGAACCAGCCTACTGTCTACTGAGTTCCACTGTGTCCTCCAAGCTCAGTATGCATCAGATTATTGTCCCTCCCAACTTCAATATTCACATGACTGTCTTCCCTTTTAAACTCTGTAGACATCAGACCACAGTCTGCTCTAATTTTAGTATGTACCAAATCAGTTATCTAGGACTTAATTACCCACAGGATTAACTAATTTTGTAGACCATCAACCCTAAGGGATTTATGGTTGACATCTAATGGATAGCAGTATGATGTTCATTCCTGTGTGTTTGCTGAAATCATGATTTTTTTTTTTCCAGATCGGTTGGTTCCCCTCAAATTATGTTGACGATGACTTTTCGGAGTATTGTTAAATGACTGAGAAAAGGGATAGAATATGCAGCAAAGCTACTGAACATAGAATAATTATTTTGTAAAGTATTTAAGGACTTGCTGTAATGATATCCATATGGAGATCAAACCTCTTTGTGAAATGGCGTGAAGTCAATATATGAAGGATTTTGAAGACTTTTTCCTGCTGTTGTCATTCAGCTAATACCTTGGACTTCTAGGAACAGCATCAAGTTTTACATTTTTGTACATCTTCATAAAGTGCTTTACAGCATTTCAGTTATAAGCTGACTTATTTTACTTACAGTACATCCTGGCTTTCATAAACAGTAAAAAGTACCGTTTCCAAAAAACCCATGAAGGCTGTGTAAGCACGTGTTCTGCAGTCTGAGACTAGAAATATTGATGTAACCCATCGGCATTTACAGTCTATTCACAGTACGCAAAGCTTACCTCTCAGGACATAGTTTTACTAAAACTCCACTTTTGTTGAAACAATTGTCTCCATTGCAAGTGTATGCTTGACAAGGATTTCTTACTTGCTTCATTCCTGGAGTTAATGAGACAGGCTAACCAGTAACCAAAATAAACTCACTGATAATTGGGACAGTCTGCATATGCTAATCTTTTATTCAAGCCTAGTCTTGTACTGATACATTTAATCTACAAAACTCTTGCAGGTCTATGGTCAAACTACTATCTGTGATAAAAGCCTCTCAGTAAAAAAAAAAAAAAAAAAAGACAGAACGGGGAATGCCTGTAATTTACTTCAAGCTCTATAACAGGCCTCCTGGAAAAAGAGTGAGGAAGTCACATAAGCAGGAAATATTTCTTGAGTTGTTCTGACAAACACTGTAAAAAGAACGTATCCAGAGCTCTACTAGCAGGAACTGAATCTCACGTGTGGTCATTTTTTAATTACCTAGGTGGTTGAAGAACATTTTACAAAAAGTCATTTACAAGATATAATTGCTACCAAAGCCATTGCATATTATAGAAATCTTTTAATGAAAGTTTAGTGTTCATTTGGAGGTTAGAGGCATGTTTTTGTGCCGTCTCTGACAGAGGTAAACACTGTGTCCCAAAAGTTTGTAACAAGCAGTTTCTTATGTTCAACATGCACTGTGCAAGATCATTCCCTTGCCTTAAATTCATTCCCCTGTACTCAGCTCTCTTAACCAGCAAAAGGAACAACTTTCAGAGATAAAGCTGAATCCCAGGGAGATATATATTTATATTATTATATATATATATATATATATATATATATATATATATATATATATATACATACATATAACATAGAAAGACACCAACTTTTGCAAGTATGTGTTCATTCAAAAATCCTTAAATGTCTTTTTAAATGCAACTAGTAGTTTAAGTACTTGAATTTGACTTGGAATCAGTGTTTAGCAATCCTCTGTGCAACAGAGCTGGGACCGAGAAGCAAGAGAAGTAGCAAAAGGGGCCAAACAGTTGTGCTGCATTGTTCATGTGCTAAAAAGGAACATTCTGTTAAATAAAGCAGAGGGACTCATAGATTAACTAATTAATACTTTGTTTCTTCTTCACTATTCAATCACAGTTTGAGGGCACTGATAAATATTTATCTATATAAAAAAACAAACTACCATTCTGACATTACTTTGTTAAAACTGTTGTAATCTGACAACTGTCTAGCAAGTAAAGAGTGCATTTGTCATTCGAAGCGCTTAATATAGAATATACAGATTATTTCCAATTTGGTGGGTCTGATCTCACTGTGCTTTCCATGAGATACATGCTCATCCATGGCCAGCATTATGCCCTAAGGCCCATTTCACAGGTGTGTGGTATGTTCCAGTTTAGATGCGTTTTAGGTGCATTACTATGCTCTATAAAACGTGTGTTTTCATAAAAGTGTATCAAAGATACGACATGCATGACTTTCCTTGTTCAATAATTGGTATTAAAGAGTTTTAAGTATCCAAGTTGTATTTGCTTTTGTATCAAACCAAGTTTTTACTTTTTCAGTGTAGTATTTATTAAAATGGTTGTAAAAGGCTGAAGGTTTATTACCTTCATGCATTCTATGCATGAAGGTAAAAACCTTGTGTGCTGCTCCCTCCATAGCCCACCCTAATAATTACCTGAGTCCGCCTCTCAATCCAGCGATGTGCATGGGAGCTGTCCCTGGTCTATTTTTCCTCATTGGCTGAGATACAGCAGCAGGAGCCATTGGCTCCCACTGCTGTCAGTCACCACCAGTGAGCCAATGAGGGAGCCAGGGGCGGGGCCAAGCAACAGCTCTGTGTGTCAGCATGCACCAAGGGGGGAAGCCAGAAGTTCTGGCAGGGGATCCGAGAAGAGGAGGATTGGGGCTGCTCTGTGCAAACCATTGCACAGAGCAGGTAATTATGACTTTTTTTTTTTTTAAATAAACACACAAACCTTTAATATCACTTTAAAGAAGAAATAGAGGGGGTGCCCAAGATGGTGACCGAATAGGTGGCATACTGAGGGAGCTCCGTCACCTACCTGATTTCTAACTAATTCCCTGCAGACCCAACGCTGACTGTGCCTGCACTCGCTCCCTCTCTCTTCTCCTACCCTAAATTTGCCGAAGGGCAATCAATCCTTGGTGACCCACTTGGCGCACTCGGCCTCTGGTACAGGTGGGGCGGGAGCCTCTCTGCCGACACAACCAATATGGTGACCCAAACGGAGGACACAGAACCCGTGCTCCTGGAACAAGCGAAATTCACAACCCTCATGCAGGCCTTTACCAACTGCCAAACCACCCTGATGGGTAAGATTGACTCCCTCCAGTAGGATATAGGCCTTGTCTGAGAGTGCAAGATGGTGAGTCTGTTTGTTTTTTCACTTCCCCCGAGGAGACCTCCCAATGGCTGGATACTCTGCTTAACGTGTGATCACCTATAGTGTCTGTCTACGGC